CACTCTCTAGAAATCCTTCATCAGGGCTTATTGTGATACTGGTAACAGAAATTTAAGTTACCAAGTTAGAAAGAAAAGAAAAAACAATACAGAAAGTATATATACAAAAAATGATTGGTTTAATATATACTTACTCTGTCATGTACCACAAGTAGTCTGTAGAATCCCAAGTCATATTTATTTGGTCCCTCAATCCGTCCAATGTAAATGTATCAGGATCGTCAGAAGAGGCGGTTTCTTCGGTGAACGATTGCCAAGAAAGTGCATTATTTACTGGTGTCATCTTCATTTGGGAGCTTTGGGCACCAAGCTGTAAATAGAACACAATCCTAAGTGAATATCCAAGTAGAAATGTTTGATGGAGAAAAAGACAAGGAATAAATTAAATGAAAAATATCCAGCATAGGCAACAGTCTTCTCCTCACCCTCGCAGTGTTGTAAACTGCAGTTTTGCAGTCAGGGAGAATGCTGATGGACCAAGGTGGCAGGTCATATTGCCCATCTCCAAACCTCACTTCCACAGAGTAATTTGTGTCATAATTTGCAAGGAATGCAGCACACTGATAACTTGATTTGAATACATGAGCCTACAAGGATTAAATCATAACAGTGACAATCATTATAAAAATCCAAAAAATAATAAATTAGGTTTATGATTTAGTTATGAAGTTCTAGCTTACCTCTTGGTGTCTTCCAAGTGATATGACTGAAGGATCAGCAGAAACTAAAGCCGACTCAGATAACTTGATGGCTCTATGCAGATCTCTCAAATGTCCCCACTTTGGTTCCCTAGGTAGGCCTGGCATAGCAAAGGCCATTAGATGTGTTCAAATGTGTAAAGTAAGGAGTATGAGGAAAACTTTATAAAAACCTAGTGTTAGCTAATCCTATTTGCATACCAAATTCATCCAAAGGGGAGTCATAGTCATAGCTGGTGGCAATGAAGGGACCTCCAGCTGTTCGGCCAAAATTCGTTCCTCCGTGGTACTGAAACACAAAATAGGAGAAGAAGAGGCAACAGAAATTAGAAAATATGCTCTAGCTGATTAAAACCTCAGTCAGATACAATCAACTTTGATATACAAGAAGAAAAAGAAGAGGAACTAACCATATAATAGTTCACAAAAGAACCGCCATTTTGTATAAACATTGCAACTGAAAATGCCAAGTCTTCTGCAGGTCTAGTAGGAACTGCCCCACCAAATTCTGTATACCTGTAAATTATAAGCGACGAGGCAGCAGCCTTAGCAAAGGATTGGAAAGACAATACAAGAAAGTAACTATACAATACACTTTTGGCTTGTAAAGGCAACAACAGTGTGACTTACCAGCCAGTCCAGACTTCTGTCCACATTTTGGGTTTATATTTCTTGGTTGGAGTGAAATTTTGGCAGTAGAAACCGTTGCAGGTATTAATCTGTCACATAATAAATCATAAGGTCTCAGAAATAAAGATTGAAATGTATTGAAGCTTTCTTTTTGTCACAATTATTATCAAACAAGAAGAAGACATGCACATCATGTTTAAAGAAAACATGCAGTAGAAAAAGAAGAAAAGATAGAAAGATAAAAGGGAGAGTAGCTTACTATTGGATCAGGGGCATCCTCTTGCTTGCACATAATCCATGGAACTCCAATATTAAGATTCACAGCCATCTGAGCAGCCCAATTGGTATATGCTTTCCCAGGAGCACCAATTTCCCACTCTACTGGTCCATATTCGTTTTCTATCTGTCAAATTTTAAATTAAAGGAAAAGTAATATTAGCATTGACTGACCAATTTTACTCTGCAAAACAAACAGAAGCAAGAAAACTGAAAAAGCACAGCCCAAATTTTTTAGAGAATTAAGACTTGAACTAATTGTCACACCTGGGACAGAATTATGGGACCTCCCTGAGATTGAAACAGGCTTTCTGCCTTCATCATACCAACAATCTTCTCTGTGAATGTTTGCATTGCCGCCTTCATAAAAATCAATTACAATGAAAGTGATGAATTAGAAAACTTAATAATGTAAAATTGGTGTGTTATAGGTAACAGAAAAGTCCTAGTGACCAACCTTGAAAGGCTCATTGTCTGTTCTAAAAGCAATTCCGGGAACAAACTTCAGCCAAACAGGGAATCCCCTGTATCAGAAACAGAGCAAAAACAGAGTAATGGGTAAGGCCATATTTACATAAGAACAAAAGCAAAACGAAAGTTTTCTTAAATTCAGTCTTTGCAAAACCTATACAACATTTGTTTTCAAATATTATTACCCGAAGTTCCATTCAGCACAGACATAAGGGCCAATCCGGAGGTTAACATATAGGCCTGCTTGGTGTACCAGCTTGATGAACTTAACCAAATCATATCTGTCCTCAAAGTAATACTGAAAATTTCAAATACAAATTAAACTGTCAATGAGTATATTTTTATTTGCATGAGAAAAAAAAAACAAGAAGGAAAATTGAATTTTATTTGCATTACTTGTCCTGGAGAAGGTTCATGCCCGTTCCAAAACACATAGGTCTGTATAACATCCAGGCCTCCTTCTTTGGCCTTCTGTATTAAATCTGGCCACATCTGTAACCACACACAATATAAAAAAAATTGAGCTAAGAAAACTCGTAGAAAAAGAAAAAGAAAACTATGAACCACATTGGCATTATTAGTAAGTACCTCAGGTGTGCTTCTGGGATAGTGAATGGAACCCGAAATAAGAATCCTTTTTCGGCCGTTAATTATTATGGATCTGTGGTCATAGCTCACAGAGGCTGTGCATGCAGAAGCCAGCCATGAAAACAAGAACAACAGCAGCAGCATGTTGGCTCTCAACATGCTCCACATTGTTTGAGTTTCAAGATCTCTGTGTTCTCAAACGTGCAAAGCAATGTGCTTATGTTTGTTTTCTTCTTTGATAGCTCCTTAGACGAGGGTTTAAAACTAGGAGTGATAATATAGTAGTATAGTTACAATTCTAAGCTAGGTTTATATAGCCAGCACATCCTATTTCGGCTAGGAAAAAAAACCACAACTCCTAAATTACCAAAAGAAATCAAATATTTAATCCCTATTCAGAAAAGGAAAAGCAAATTGCACCAAATCGGGAAACTTACCAAATAAATTTAAATGCAATGGTGTTTTGAGGCCGGAAACTTTCCTGAAATTAAATTCAAACTAACTTAGAGCACTTCCACCCATCACCTTTTGCCATGGTGGCAAAAGGAGTCTTAGGCTCCAAAAACAACTTCCACCCATCACCTTTTGCCATGACAAAAAGTGGGCCCATGAATTTGGGTATGTCTAAAGACAAGACTTGCATGGGCTGCTATCTGGGCAAAGTGACGTCATGCTAATGTCAACGACCAATTTAAATACCAAAAAAACTGAAAAAAAAATACCAAAAAATTCAGAATTTTTTTCTTTCTATAAATACCTAGCCATGTTCCTCACTTCAGATACCAAAATTCATACAAATTCCTCTCCCCAAATCTCATGTGAATAGTGGTTACCCTTGGGTTGCTATAGCAATGAATGGGAATGCATCAAAAAAATTACTATGACAGTAACTATTCACGTGAATAGTGTCTACCCTCACTTGCCCTTGCCTTTTACCATTGCACAATGGGTGGAAGAGTACTCTTAAGAGGATGTTTGGGGCGGGCTTATTGACATGACAATTGACCAAAGGTTGCCTTCCACTACAATATGCTATTGTTGACTATGCCATGTACATTATACAAGACATGCCAATTAGTCATAAGCTGATTTCAGGTCATACAACTACAATTTACAAGACATGCCAATTAATGATAAGCTGATTTAAGGCCAAATACAGAAACAGAACAAAGAAAAATAATGGTAGACAACGTCATCACGTGCGCCCAAATTGCCTACCTAATAAATGAAAAGTAGCCGAGTTACAGTTAAATTGAAGAGGGAACTAGCGCCACTCAACAACACGCAAAGAAAAGTCATGCAAACAGAGCACCCTCTCTGTCTCTCTGTTGCTTATAAGAAGAAGAAGAAGAAGAAGAAGAAGAAGAGGTAAAGTAATGGCGTCGTGGAATTCAATTCAGCTGGAAATCACATACAGAGTTTTGGGATGGATGGGTTTCGCATGTTGGTCCGTCGGTGGCTACCCACAAGTCATATTGAATTTCCGCAGGAAAAGGTACTCAATTTATTTCCTCATCAAATTTTCCTGAATTCAATTCCAAGACTCTTAATTTATTTGGTGGGATTGGAATATTTTTTATTGTAGCGTTGTGGGATTGAGCTTCGATTTCGTGTTGTTGAGTTTGACAAAGCAGTCTTCCTATCTCATATACAACGCCTCTCTCTACTTCAGCTCCGCCGTTCAAAGGCAGTACTGGGAGAAATACGGCTATGGACAGGTTTCTTCTGTTCTCAGTTTTCCCTCCCTTCCCTACTTATTCACCAAAACCCAAAAGAAAAGTTGATTGTTTTGATGTGGATGTGATTGCAGATGATCCCTGTAGCAGTAAATGATGTTGCTTTCTCAGCTCACGCTGTTTTGTTGACAGCATTTGTTCTGTTCCAAATTGCAATCTATGAAGCTAGTGTCTCCTCATCTCATACCTCTGTTTTTCTCTGTTTTTCCAAGCTTATTATTATGATTTTGATTGAGTGTTATATGTTGGCATCTGACATTTTTGTTCATTGATGGCATGGCTTTATGCAGCGAGGAACTCAGAAGGTGTCCAAGATTGCCATCGGAATTGTCGTTGCAGTGTGGTCAGGCGCTGCAGTTTGTGTTTTCGTAGCTTTGCCAACCCATTCTTGGCTTTGGCTGATTAATATTTTCAAGTAAGATCCTAATTACCACCATTTAATTCTTCATCTTTTTCAACTGTCTGTTCCATTAAGATTAATTCGAGGGTTGATTAAGCAAGGCAATGCTTTAAGATGCATTTTCAAGGCGGCTCCTTTTCGTACAAGTTAGCTTATTTCTTACAAGGAGGACATAGATTTCTTACTACCCCTCTCTCATTTCCTCCCTGTTTATATATTCCCTTTTGCAGCTCAATTCAAGTTTGCATGACAGTCGTCAAATATACTCCCCAGGTTTGCATTGACTTGAATTCACCCTAAATTGTTCATCTTGTTTTGATTTTTTTTTTTTTTTTTAAAGTCATGAAATGAAACAGCATTCCTGAACTTCGTGCGGAAGAGCACAGAGGGATTTAGCCTTGGCTCTTACTTGCTTGATTTTTCTGGAGGGGTCACAAATTATGCACAGATGACTGTGCTTGCTATAGATCAAGGTTCATCCTCCCTCCTCAACCTCAACCAAACAAAATGATTGACACAGTTTGATAACAAATATCCTTCATGTCATGCTTTAATTTGTTTTGATCTTGTGTCCCTTCCAGATTCTTGGGTGAACTTTTATGGAAACATGGGGAAAGTACTGCTATCTTTGGTATGAATGATCTGATGATATCAACGATGTGAATTTATTTTATCCGTTATATTCATTATTTGATGGTTTATTGCAATTTCAGATATCTATATTCTTTGACCTTGTCTTCATGTGTCAACGCTTCCTGCTATATCCTTCAAAGAAAGCACCCATCCCTCCTCCTCCTCCTCAAATCATCAGCAAGGACAAGGAGAGCTTGGAGCCACTTCTCCAGTCTTCATCAGATCACCCACTCAAACACACTGTCTGAAAATGTATACACAAGAGCTTCTCTTGCCCAAACATGTGCGACATTAACCATGTAGATGTAAACAAGGATTATATGTTTGGAGCTGAAAACTTAAATAAATTTTGATTTTTCCGTACATATACAGTCAACTTAACGTCTCCCCCTCCCCCCAAAATGAGCGCTCATCCATCTTTTCTTTCCCTGTCAGAAAAAAAAGAAGAAGAAATTTATCTTCCCATGTATCCATTGCAGATGGGGAGGGTGGTTCCATAAGAGTGATTCCTTTGCCATCCATGTGGATTTCATGGCTGATGCTCCTTGCGGACTTGGTTACCATACCAAGCAGCTTGGACAAGACAAATTTAGGAGGTGCAGTTTTGGTCCAAGTCCTGTTGGATGGTTAGAGCAAAAATTGCTCTTAGTAAAAAGGCAACAATCCTTAGAGCAAAAACTTTTACTCCTTTTTTTTTTTGGGTTTTGAAATAGAGGACACATGTCACTTTATGGTTGAGCCATAATAAAAAGTAAGGAGTTTTGCCTTATGGGTAAGGAGGGAAGTATTTTCTTTAAATTTATTGTCATAACCTTTTAAATAAAGGGTTAAATTAAAAGTCATATCTCTTACATAAGAGGTATATAGAGTTCTATAAAATAGAAACTCTTGGCAAACCAGTGTACGTTCTATTGTCCCTCCTCATGTCTTCTAGTACTATGTTACCCTATTGTCCTTTCTTTCTCGCATCAATCTAATGGGCAATCCGATAAACACTGCTTTGTCTGCCTTGATCGTGCTTAATGGATCAGACATTTTGAAATTATAGACGACCTTTATAACCTGCACGTAAGGAGGTTGTATCTTGAAGTTGTAGACGACTGTTATAACATGCACATAAGGAGGCATCTACAGCTTTAGGACAACGACTACGTGCCTCTCTTGACATCACATGCTAGATGTTCCTAACCCTTTCCCTATGTGTTTATTGTATTAATTATTGAGCATGACTGATGTGTTGTTGAGTTTTAATTTATTTAATTGATTCTATATGAATATTATAAGTATAATTATAGAATATTTCCAACAGAAGCAGCCAGTAAATTGAGCTAGGACATATGGGAAGTGAATATATATTTTTGGTTGTTGGTGTTGATAGGGTAATAGAAGAGATTGTGAGGTTTGAAGATATGGTATTTACAAAGGTTTGGAGAAAAAGAGAGGGGAAGAAGAAGAAGAAAAAAAACAAAAACTATTACAAACGTTAAGTTGGGGGTTAGTCAAGTTAGGGCTTTTTTTTTTCCTATTTTTAATTAGGAATAAATTGAGTTTTTATTTTAAAGACGATGTGTCCAGTTTAATTTAAATATCTTGAATTAAATTTTAACGAAGTGGTATATGAAGGATGAAAGTCAAACCGATTATCACATAAGATCATAGCAAATGATCCAAATCTCTATTTGAAGCGGGCTCACTGTCCTGATCAACTTACCAAATAATTACAAAACATGCCAATTAATCATAAGCTAATTTCAGGCCAAATACAGAACAAAGAAAAATCATTATAGTCCACGTCATCACATGGGCCCACATTGCCCACCTGATACGGACGGGCGTCCGAGTTACAGTTAACTGAAGAGGAAAGCAAACAGACCACCTTCTCTGTCTCTCTGTTTCTATTTGTCCGTCACCGGCTGGCCGTTAGGGTTGTTTAGAAGAGCAGAAGAAGAAGAGAGAAAATAATGGCGTCGTGGAATTCACTTCAGCTGGAAATCACATACAGAGTTATGGGATGGATGGCTTTCACGTGTTGGTCCGTCGGCTTCTACCCACAAGTAATATTGAATTTCCGCCGGAAAAGGTACTCATTTATTTCCTCACCGAATTTTCCTGAACTCAATTCAACTCCAAGACTTTTAATTGATTTACAGCGTTGTGGGTTTGAGCTTCGATTTCGTGGTGCTGAATTTGACAAAGCATTCTTCCTATCTCATTTACAACGCCACCCTCTACTTCAGCTCCGCCGTTCAAAAGCAGTACTGGGAGAAATACGGCTCCGGACAGGTTTCTTCTGTTCTCAGTTTTCCCTCCCTACTAATTCACCAAAACCCAAAAGAAAAAGTTGACTGTTTTGATGTGGATGTGATTGCAGATGATCCCTGTAGCAGTAAATGATGTTGCTTTCTCAGCTCATGCTGTTTTAATGACAGCAATTATTCTGTTCCAAATTGCAATTTACGACGTTAGTGTCTCCTCATCTCACTCATACCTCTGTTATTTTCCTCTGTTTTTCCAAGCTGATTATGATTTTGATTGTGTCTTATATGTTGGCATCTGACATTTTGGTTAATTGATGGCCTGGCTTTACGCAGCGAGGAACTCAGAAGGTGTCCAAGATTGCCATCGGAATTGTCGTTGCCGTGTGGTTAGGCGCTGCAGTTTGTTTTTTGGTAGCTTTGCCAACCCATTCTTGGCTTTGGCTGATCAATATATTCAAGTAAGATTCTAATTGCCACCATTTAATTCTCCTTCATCTTTTTCAACTGTCTATTCCATTAAGATTAAGTCGAGGGTTGATTAAGCCAGACATTGACAATGCTTTAATTTAAGATGCATTTTCAAGGCGGCTCCTTGTCGATATTTATTATTCTGTGATAGCTGGGTCTCTGTAAAATTCCCTTTTGCAGCTCAATTCAAGTTTTCATGACAGTCGTGAAATATACTCCCCAGGTTTGCATTGACTTGAATTCACCTTAAATTGATCATCTTGTTAGATTTTTTTTCTTTTCTTTTGTAAGTCATGAACTGAAACACAGCATGCATGCCAGGCATTCATGAACTTCATGCGGAAGAGCACAGATGGATTCAGCATTGGCTTTTACTTGCTTGATTTTTCTGGAGGGGTCACAAATTATGCACAAATGGCTGTGCTTTCTATAGATCAAGGTTCATCCTCTCTTCTCTTCCCCAACCTCAACCAAACAAAATGATTGTCACAGTTTGATAACAAATATCCTTCATGTCATGCTTTCCAGATTCTTGGGTGAACTTTTTTGGAAATATGGGGAAAGTACTGCTATCTTTGGTACGAATGATCTGATATCGACTGTTTGATTGAATTATTTTATGATCCGTTATAACTTGTATATAGATTCATTACGGTATTTGATGGGTTATTACTACTATTTCAGATATCTATATCCTTTGACATTCTCTTCATGTGTCAACGCTTCCTGCTGTATCCTTCCAAGAAAGCACCCATCCCTCCTCCTCCTCCTCCTCAAATCATCAGCAAGGAGAGCTTGGAGCCACTTCTCCAGTCTTCTTCATCAGCATCACCCACTCACACTGTCTGAAAATGTATAAACGACAGCTTCTCTCTCCTGCCCAAAACATGTAGATGGAAACAAGGATTATATGTTTGGAGGCGAAAACTTAAATAAATATGAAAAAAAACAAATTCCATCCTTTGATTTTGGCATACATACAGATACAGTCAACTTTAACAAATTACACAAAAGGTAAATTTTTTATTTTATTTTATGTATTGAAACGCGAAAGATAATTAAATCCCAATAAATCAAGCCAGTAGAAAGTTAATCATAATTTGTTCATGAATAAATAATGATACGATGGTCAAAGAAATTTCTTTTCCCTTTACTTTCCCTCGTCATCCAATCCAATAATCTGGTTATAACATTTTAGCTAGCTTGGGAAATGACACAAACGATGATGGGGTCTAGGTAGGATGATGGCTTTGGCGCCTCATACATTAAAACAGGATCCCACCTAAAAATCGAACCTTTATCAGGATCAGGAACTCAATGAATATGGCCGTGTAATAGTCCTAATTCAAACCTAACCCCCTTTCTTCTTCTGTTCTTCCAGTCCAATCCATGTTACGAAATTTGCCAAAACTTGGAGGAAAAAGCACCAATCGTGTCCTAGATTCAGAAGCAAGATGTACGGCCCTAAGCCGGTCCACGTCATCACCATGGCCCACTTTGGATGGACGGGCCAATTACATTGCAAACATACAGATACAGTTGAAGTTTTAAAAGTCATTGCAAGCAAGCCCCTTTCTTCTCCCTCTTGTCTTCTCCCCTCTCTTCAAAGTTGATCAGACAAGTAGGAAATCGCAATTGCAATTTTGGAAGGGAGGAATGGCTTCGTGGAATTCGATTCCGCTGGAAATCACATACGAAGTTCTGGGATGGGCGGCGTTCATAAGTTGGTCCATCAGCTTCTACCCACAAGTCATCTTGAATTTCCGGAGGAAAAGGTATTCATTTATGTCAACCCACAAACACTTTGGTTTTTCACACCTCGATTTTTTGCTGAATTCAATTCAAAGATTCTTCTTTATCTAAAATTGTTTTGTTTTTGGTGGATGGTGGTGGCCGGTGGGCGTTTGAATTAGTGTTGTGGGGTTGAACTTCGATTTTGTGGTGCTGAATTTAACAAAGCACTCCTCCTATCTCATCTACAATGCCACTCTCTACTTCAGCTCCGCCGTTCAAAAGCAGTACTTCGAGAAGTACGGCTTAGGACAGGTTTGTTTTCCCTCCCTACCAGCCTAGCCACTTATTTTTATGATCATTTTCATTCCCAGTGGCTGTGTTCTTGGTTTCCAATAGCAAAGCTTAGATCTTTTTAAATTATTGCATATGGGTATGCTTTTCTTGGTGGATTGGTAAGGAATGTAATATGTAGCAGATTTAGTTGTAACTCGATAGCAACTGTTATCTTCGGCACTTGGAGATTTGTGACATATATGGTAAATTGGATTTCAAGGCCGTAAACAACTTTATATATCAGAAAGCTAGTGTTTCAAGTGTGTTTTGTCATTTAGGTTTTTAAGCACATAATTTTTGCATGAAATATGTTACGTGTATATTGTAATCTCAATACTTTGACAACTCCAACAGCTGAAGAGGGATTATAGTTTATCAACTGTTTAATATAGTCTGTGCATCTTAAAAGGAAGGATGTATGGAATAGATTGAGTTGGTGATTTGTTATATGTATATTTGGAAGTACTCATCTTTTTTGTGCTATAATTGCAGATGATACCTGTTGCAGCAAACGATGTTGCTTTCTCAATTCATGCTGTTTTACTGACAGCAATTACCCTGTACCAAATTGCAATCTATGAAGTAAGTGTCTCGATCTTCTTTGCTGAGTTTATGATTTAAAATTGTGTTAATAGGTTCACTATCCTGATGTTAGTCACTTTGTCATGAAAAGTTTCATATTTGACCTTTTGCTGATGGCTTTATGCAGCGTGGAAATCAGAAGGTCTCCAAGATTTCCATTGGAATTGTTGCTGCCGTGTGGTTAGGTGCTGCAGTTTGTGTTTTCTTAGCTTTGCCAAGTCATTCTTGGCTTTGGTTGATTTCCATTTTCAAGTAAGATTTTCACCTTTTTGTTTTTGTGCATTGAATTTTGATGGATTGTCAATGACAATTATGACCAACACTTAATTTTTGCCGAAGGTTTTCTTTAAAAGTCCTTAAGGTTCTGAGTGATGTCCAATTACCTTAATATTTAGTATTTTGTATAAAGTTTTCTTAAAATTTTCCCACATCAAGTTCTGTCGTTGTGGATTCTGAACCATCTTTACTTAAATAAGTTCGCATTGACAATGAGCTTTCTAGTACCTGGCCAGAATTATGCCTTTTCACTAGGAAAATTGAAATTACTATAATGCTGATTAAGAAAGGCGGACGTCTCATCAATGCTTTAAGATGCATTTTAAAGTTGGCTACTTACATGTTGGAACTTCCATTAAGTGATTATGGTCTTGGACTGCTATTATTTTATTAAGTGATTGTTGTGTTTGTGTAAAATTCTCTTTCTAACATCAATTCATTTAATTTTGTTGCAGCTCGATTCAAGTTTTTATGACAGTCATCAAATATATTCCCCAGGTCAGTATTTAGTCCCTTTGAAATATTTTGTGTTCCGACACTGAATTCATTGCCCAAGCCGTGCTATGAAAAATGGTCGCAGGCTTTGTACATTTGCTATGCATTTAATGTAGAGTTGTTATCTGTTATTATAGGATGCTTAGGAAATGGAGAAAAAGAAAAGGAACTGTTACTGTTGAATGGACCTTTTTATCTGCTTAATATTTTCTCATGAAAAAGCAGTAAGCCTGTATTGATACAAAGCCTTTCTAAATATAGGCGGTCATGAACTTCCTGCGAAAGAGCACAGATGGATTCAGTATTGGTAACATTTTACTTGATTTTTCCGGAGGAGTGGCAAATTATGCACAAATGGCTGTGCAATCTATAGATCAAGGTTCATCATCACTTCCTCAACCAATGATATTTGCAGTTTCATAACATCCTTCATGCTAAATTGTGTTGCTAACTTGTGCACCTTTCCAGGTTCTTGGGTGAACTTTTATGGAAATATAGGGAAGACACTGCTGTCTTTGGTATGGATTCATTCATAGCAATGTCTTGAATTATATCAAACAATCGACACATTTTCTAGATTGTCTCAAATTGAATTGGTTATGGAGCTATATGTTGCTTATACATGGATGGGTTTTACTGTTTCAGATATCTATATTCTTTGACCTTCTATTCATGGGTCAACATTACGTGCTGTATCGTGGCAAGAGAGCAGTGATCACCCCTAAAATCATCAGCAAGGAGAGCGCGGAGCCGCTAGTCAAGTCATCTGATGACCCAGTTTCGGAAAATGTATAAAGCTTTTGGCTTGGCTCTCAAGATGTATGATAGATATTAGCTTACATCGTCGGTGTAAGAATTAGCAAACTTATTGGGTTTCTGCAGATTATTTTACCTACAAGCATGTTGTATCACATTGTGTACAGGAAAAAGAAGAAGGAAAAAACATTTATTTGGAGCATTAAAAGTAGGCAACAGTGTATGAAGAACATTATGCAATTGAAGTGTATGTTTGCATAACACTTTTACTAGAGGATCCGTAAGAAATAAAAAGAGAGGTTTTTACATTTTCCAAACAGAACCTCAAACTCACTCAATTTTGGAAGATGTTGTAAGCTTTTAAGTTTGGTTGGTTTTTGACTTTTGATTATGATCGCCGGCGCCAAGTTTTAAGAAAGCCAGATGCACGCAAACTCTGTGCCTCATGCAAGCGTAACGCATGGATTTCTTTTATTGGTTGCTAAAAAAAACTGAACTTTTAGACTTTTAGGCGGTTTGTGGACTTTTGTTGCTCTACACGGCGCTTTCGGACTAATAGGTTTTATGTTACGTCAATCATGGTCCTTTCGGATCGGATCATCCATATAATATACAAAAAGAAACTCCAGATATTTTATATCTTTCTCTTTGAATGAGATCTCAATTCCAGCGACGGTTTCATTAGACCCATGTTTGAATTGAAATTAAGATACTGATGCAAGTTCTTCCCTTCTGAATCAGAGAAGGGATAAAAGATTTCCATGTAACAAGGATAGCACTATTTTTCTATCCTCGGCCTATAACACAATGATACGTGAAAAAGTTATCTCATGTGTCTAAAGTACTATATCGTTAACAGGTAAGTTTTTCTGCTATGAAGGAGCCGAGCAATTTCCAGGAAAAAAACAACTGAGATTTTTGATGCGAGAAGGATTCTTTATCTTGACGAGTTGTCAATCTTGAATAATTTATTGGCTTGGTCCACAAGAATTAGGACCTTCCAAACCAAAGACCGTGCTTCCCAAGTTTTCATTCCCACAAGCAACACTACATAATGAGAGAGGGCACAACCTAACACCTCCATCATTCATCCGTCTTTCAATCTTTCATTCAGCCCACAGCTCCATTTGTCAAGAATGAAGAGCGAGGGTCGCCAGCACGGGATGTTCCGGCCTTACCGGGTCCTACCAGACCCATTGAACCTGAGACCCGGAACCCGACAGGTGAACAAGTTTGATTCACTTTCCACAGCCGGGTTATTCACCAAGGTGGCCACCAAGCCCACCAACCACTCCAAGTTCACGGGTAAGTGCGGCAAGCCCAGGTGCACCGAGTGTCACATCCACCCGGCTTCTAAGACCAAGGACAAGACCAAAGGGAACCACAAGCTCAAGTCATCCGACGTCATATTTAATCATCGTTTGGTCAAATTTTCCGGGTCTTCTGCCACTGGGATTTTGGATCATCTGTCTACTAGTCATTATGATAACAACGATGATAATGATGAAGAAGATGATGAAATCAGTGGTTATGCAAGTGAGTGGAGCCTATGATAATAGAAATGATCATGATCATGATGTGATGTGAGGGTGGATTTTGATGAGGTTGAGGAAGATGGTAATTATGAAGATATGGGTTTCTTCAATGTGGAATATGTGATTGATCCAATTGAGGAAGATGAAGGTTGGTGTTTAGTGCCACAAACGTGATTGTGGTTTGAATAACGCGGATTGAAGTCAACCTCTTTTCTTCTGCTTTGTATTTTGATGTACAAGCTAGTAATAATGATGATGATGATGATGATGATCTTATTTCTCAATATTTGACAATATTCCTTTATTGCCGCCGCCTCTCTTTCTTCGTCTGATTTTATTTCTGATGTACTTATTGCTGACCTGTGAGTCCGTGACTAAGGAACATTGGGGGCCAGGGGGTGCTTCATTATGAGTGAGAGTTCTTTTGATCGCAATGAGGAAGGAAAGTAAGCTATTTAATTAGTTTAATGTCCGAACTCTTATGTATAGAGATACTCACTTAATCTTCTTGACTTTAGTTTGGAATTTTAACTCTACTCTGTTTGTCCTCAATAAATTACAACCGATTTTCTACAAAAAATATTTGACAATATTCTCATTAGAATTTGGCCTCCAATCTAATTCAGTTTAAGCAAATCAAACCCAAATGAATAGAAAAGAATTTCAATGATATGTGCATTTCATTTCCGAACAGCACCTTAAGCTGAGTCATTTTGTAAAACCAATGAGCAACTGCCACGTCAAGAGACGGGTTGAGAAACTAGTCCGCACTCTGTTTCCAAGTTTTCCCACCAGTTAAGTCACTCTGAAACCGAATGGAGCTGAGACAAAAGCCCTAAATCTCTACAGTTCTTCCGGTTGCTCTCTGCCTGATAGACCACAATATCCGAAATATCTGGTTCGTTGAAATCCCACCGGAGCATCCAAGAGCTTTGCACCCTCAAAGCAGCAGAATTTTTCCCCGTTTCCCTTCCTCTTCTTCCCCTTTTCACTCTCTAAGGTTTGCCCTCTCTCCGTCTATCTCTCTCTCTCTCTCTCTCTCTCTCTCTCTGGAGTAATGGCTTCTCTTGCATGTTTGGTGCAATACTGGTACTTTTTTCATTGAGAATTATAATGAAAGCTTTGGTCTTTCTGATCTTCCAGTGTTCCTTGTTTCATTCCTTGCTACAATGGTGCATTGCATATGGGATATTTTTTTATTATGGTGAATGATGGCTCGTTTTTATGGGTATTAAATTGAATTTTTCCTGACTTTTTTGTTTTTGCTTCCTTTTTCTCTTCCCTCCCTAATGAAGGTGGATGGGTTGTAGTGAGCCTGATATATCAAGTCATCCACAAGAAGAGAGTGACTACAATGAACTTCCAACGTCATTTAGATTGGATATTGATGTGCAACGTGATTGTCGAAGCTCAAAAGATTCCTCTGCCGAAAAGAGTCAGGCAGTTATCGACCATGAACATGACTCTCCGAGAGAGTGTCAAAGTCCAAAAGGTTCCTCTTTTGAGAAGAGGCAGGTGGTTATTGATACTGAGCAGGAGTGTCAGAGTCCTGTTCCTTCTTCTATTGACAAGAACCAGGTGGAAATTGACTGCGAGGAGTGTGAAACCCCAAAATTTTACTCTGTGAGTATGTTTGAGATGGATGTAGATGGTGAGCAGGAGTTGCAGAGCCCAAATGTTCCCTGTGCTGATGTACCAGGAGCTGGTATGGCCATGAAAGGTGAGGAATACATTTATGTGGTACCGCAAGTTGGGGTGGAGCTTGAGTCAGAAGACCATCTATACAATTGTTACAGTAGATATGCTGTGCTGGAAGGTTTCAGCATTAGAAAAGATTTCGTAAATAAAAGTAGGATAAATGGTATAGTTGTTTCCAGAAGGTACACTTGTCATCTTGAATTTCCGGAGGAAAAGGTATTCATTTATGTCATCCCACAAACCCTTTGGTTTTTTCACACCTTGATTTTCTGCTGAATTCAATTCAAAGATTCTTTCTTTATCTAAAATAGTTTTGTTTTTTGGTGGATGGTGGTGGCCGGTGGGCGTTTGAATTAGTGTTGTGGGGTTGAACTTTGATTCGTGGTGTTGAATTTGAGAAAGCACTCCTCCTATCTCATCTACAACGCCACTCTCTACTTCAGCTCTGCCGTTCAAAAGCAGTACTTGGAGAAGTACGGCTTAGGCCAGGTTTGTTTCCCTCCCTACCAGCCTAGCCACTTCTTTTTATGATCATTTTCATTCCCAGTGGCTGTGTTCTTGGTTTCCAATAGCAAATCTTAGATCTTTTGAAATTATTGCATATGGGTATGCTTTTTCTTGGTGGATTGGCAAATATTTTAATAAGCTCTGCTTATATATTGATACAAGTATTAAGTTACATAAAGCATGTAATATGTAGCAGTTTTAGTTGTAACTCGATAGCAGCTGTTATTTTTGGCACTTGGAGATTTGTGACATATATGGTACACCGGATTTCAAGGACGTTAACAACTTTATATATCAGAAAGCTAGTGTTTCAAGTGTGTTTTGTCATTTAGGTTTTTAAGCACATAATTTTTGCATGAAATATGATACGTGTAGATTGTAATCTCAATACTTTAACGACAACTCCAACAGCTGAAAGAGGGATTGTAGTTTATCAACTGTTTAATATAGTCTGTGCATCTTAAAACGAAGGATGTATGGAAGAGATTGAGTTGGTGATTTGTTATATGTATATTTGGAAGAACTCATCTTTTTTGTGCTATAATTGCAGATTATACCTGTTGCAGCAAATGATGTTGCTTTCTCTATTCATGCTGTTTTACTGACAGCAATTACCCTGTACCAAATTGCAATCTATGAAGTAAGTGCTTTGATCTTCTTTGTCGAGTTTATGATTTCAAATCGTGTTAGTAGGTTCACTATCCTGATGTTAGTCACTTTGTCATGAAAAGTTTCATATTTGACCTTTTGCTGATGGCTTCCACAAACCCTTTGGTTTTTTCACACCTTGATTTTCTGCTGAATTCAATTCAAAGATTCTTTCTTTATCTAAAATAGTTTTGTTTTTTGGTGGATGGTGGTGGCCGGTGGGCGTTTGAATTAGTGTTGTGGGGTTGAACTTTGATTCGTGGTGTTGAATTTGAGAAAGCACTCCTCCTATCTCATCTACAACGCCACTCTCTACTTCAGCTCTGCCGTTCAAAAGCAGTACTTGGAGAAGTACGGCTTAGGCCAGGTTTGTTTCCCTCCCTACCAGCCTAGCCACTTCTTTTTATGATCATTTTCATTCCCAGTGGCTGTGTTCTTGGTTTCCAATAGCAAAGCTTAGATCTTTTTAAATTATTGCATATGGGTATGCTTTTCTTGGTGGATTGGTAAGGAATGTAATATGTAGCAGATTTAGTTGTAACTCGATAGCAACTGTTATCTTCGGCACTTGGAGATTTGTGACATATATGGTAAATTGGATTTCAAGGCCGTAAACAACTTTATATATCAGAAAGCTAGTGTTTCAAGTGTGTTTTGTCATTTAGGTTTTTAAGCACATAATTTTTGCATGAAATATGATACGTGTAGATTGTAATCTCAATACTTTAACGACAACTCCAACAGCTGAAAGAGGGATTGTAGTTTATCAACTGTTTAATATAGTCTGTGCATCTTAAAACGAAGGATGTATGGAAGAGATTGAGTTGGTGATTTGTTATATGTATATTTGGAAGAACTCATCTTTTTTGTGCTATAATTGCAGATGATACCTGTTGCAGCAAACGATGTTGCTTTCTCAATTCATGCTGTTTTACTGACAGCAATTACCCTGTACCAAATTGCAATCTATGAAGTAAGTGTCTCGATCTTCTTTGCTGAGTTTATGATTTAAAATTGTGTTAATAGGTTCACTATCCTGATGTTAGTCACTTTGTCATGAAAAGTTTCATATTTGACCTTTTGCTGATGGCTTTATGCAGCGTGGAAATCAGAAGGTCTCCAAGATTTCCATTGGAATTGTTGCTGCCGTGTGGTTAGGTGCTGCAGTTTGTGTTTTCTTAGCTTTGCCAAGTCATTCTTGGCTTTGGTTGATTTCCATTTTCAAGTAAGATTCTTACCTTTTTGTTTTTGTGCATCGAATTTTGATGTACTGTCAATGACAATTATGACCAACACTTAGTTTTTTGCTGAAGGTTTTCTTTAAAAGTCCTTAAGGTTCTGAGTGATGTTCAATTACCTTAATATTTAGTATTTTGTATATAGTTTTCTTAAAATTTTCCCACATCAAGTTCTGTCATTGTGGATTCTGAACTATCTTTACTTAAATAAGTTCGCGTTGACAATGAGCTCTCTGGTACCTGGCCAGAATTATGCCCTTTCACTAGGAAAATTGAAATTACTATAATGCTGATTAAGAAAGGTGATCTTCTCATCAATGCTTTAAGATGCATTTTAAAGTCGGCTACTTACATGTTGGAACTTCCATTAAGTGATCATGGTCTTGGATTATTATTTTATTAAGTGGTTGTTGTGTTTGTGTAAAATTCTCTTTCTAACATCAATTCATTTAATTTTGTTGCAGCTCGATTCAAGTTTTTATGACAGTCATCGAATATATTCCCCAGGTCAGTATTTAGTCCCTTTGAAATATTTTGTGTTCCTATACTGAATTGATTGCCCAAGCCATGCTATGAAAAATGGTCGCAGGCTTTATACATTTGCTATGCATTTATTGTAGAGTTGTTGTCTGTTATTATAGGATGCTTAGGAAATGAAGAAAAAGAAAAGGAACTGTTACTGTTGAATGGACCTTTTTATCTGCTTAATCTTTTCTCATGAAAAAGCAGTAAGCCTGTATTGATACAACGCCTTTCTTAATATAGGCGGTCATGAACTTTCTGCGAAAGAGCACAGATGGATTCAGTATTGGCAACATTTTACTTGATTTTTCCGGAGGGGTGGCAAATTATGCACAAGTGGCTGTGCAATCTATACGTTCATTATCACTTCCTCAACCAATGATATTTGCAGTTTCATAACATCCTTCATGCTAAATTGTGTTTCTAACTTGTGCGCCTTTCCAGGTTCTTGGGTGAACTTCTATGGACATATAGGGAAGACACTGCTGTCCTTGGTATGGATTCATTCATAGCAATGTCTTGAATTATATCAAACAATTGCCACACTTTCTAGATTGTCTCAAATTGAATTGGTTATGGATCTATATGATGCTCATACATGGATGGTTTGGACTGTTTCAGATATCTATCTTCTTTGACCTTCTATTCATGGATCAACATTACGTGCTGTATTGTGGCAAGAGAACAGTGATCACCCCTAAAATCATCAGCAAGGAGAGCTCGGAGCCACTCGTCAAGTCATCTGATGACCCAGTTTCGGAAAATGTATAAAGCTTTTGGCTTGGCTCTCAAGATGTATGATAGATATTAGCTTACATCGTCGGTGTGAGAATTAGCAAACTTTTTGTGTTTCTGCAGGTTATTTTACATAAAAGCATGTTGTATCACGTTGTGTACAGGGAAGAAGAAGAAAACATTTATTTGGAGCATTAAAAGTAGGCAGCAGTGTATGAAGAACATTGAGTAATTAAAGTATATGTTTGCATACCACTTTTACTAGAGGATCCGTAAGAATAAAAAGATTGGTTTTTACATTTTCCAAACAGACCCCCAAACTCACTCAATTTTGGAAGATGTTGTAAGCTTTTAAGTTCGGTTGGTTTTTAACTTTTGATTATGATCGCCGCGCCAAGTTCTGAGAAAGCCTGATGCGCAGAAACTCCGTCCCTTGTCCTCATGCAAGCGTAACGCATGGATTTCTTCTATTGGTTACTAAAAAAAACCAAACTTTTAGACTTCTGTGAAGGGATAAAGACTTCCATGCAACAAGGATAACACTATTTTGCTATTTCTGGCCTATAACTCAAGGACATGTGAAAAAGTTATCTTACATGTCATTGCGAGTGTTATCCCTGTTGCAGATAATTCTGCTGTGAAGGAGCAGAGCAAGTTCCAGGAAAAGAACAGCTACTGAGATTTTTGGCTTATGAGTTGCAGTTCCAGCAGAGCAGCGTCCCTTTGCCTTGGGGCTCACACCTTTTCTCATCAAAACTTTGTATAATTTCCATTAGCCACATGAAAAAGAAAAAGAAAAAAAATATATATCAACTCCAGGGTCAACCCTGTAACATGTAATGCAAGTGGGCATCATTATTAAGAAACAAGCATATGCATACCGTCAAGCATAAGCAATTGGCCATTGCCAAGTACTTGCTTTATTTATTAAAAAAAAGTTACTTGCTTTATAAAATAAATAAAAAAATTAATATGCGAAAAAGATGTATTCTTTATCTTGGTGAGTTGTCAATCTTTAATGCTTTATTGGCTTGGTCCACAAGAATTAGGACCTGCCAAACCAAGCACCGTGTTTCCCAAGTTTTCATTCCCACAAGCAACACTATATAATGAGAGAGGGCACAAATCAACACCTCCATCATTCATCCTTCCTTCAATCTTTCATTCAGCCCACAGCTCCATTTGTCAACAATGAAGAGAGAGGGTCGCCAGCACGGGATGGTCCGGACTTACCGGGTCCTACCCGACCCATTGAACCCAAGACCAGAAACCCGACACGTGAACAGGTTTGATTCACCTCCTACAGCCGGGTTGTTCACCAAGGTGGCCACCAAGCCTACCAACCACTCCAAGTTCACGGGTAAGTGCGGCAAGCCTAGGTGCACCGAGTGTCACATCCACCCGGCTTCTAAGGCCAAGGACAAGACCAAAGGGAACCACAAGCTCAAGTCATCCGACGTCTTATCCAATCATCGTTTGGTCACTTGGCGGGTTGTGGACAGCCGGTCTAGCTCGAATTTTTCCAGGTTTTCTGCCACGGGGATTTTGGATCATCTGTCTACTAGAGATTATGATAACAACGATGATGATGAAGAAGATGATGAAATCAATGGTTACGCAAGTAGAGCCTATGATAATAGAAATGATCATCATGTGAGGGTGGATTTTGATGAGGTTGAGGAAGATGGTAATTATGAAGAGATGGATTTCTTTAATGTGGAATATGTGATTGATCCAATTGAGGAAGATGAAGGTTGGTGTTTAGTGCCACAAACGTGATTGTGGTTTGAATAACGCGGATTGAAGTCAACTTCTTTTCTTCTGCTTTGTATTTTGATGTACAAGTTAATAATGATGATGATGATAATCTTATTTCTCAATATTTGACAATATTCCTTCTTTGTCTTGGTCTGATTTTATTTTTGAGCACTTGTTGCGGATTGTAACCCGTGAGTTCATGTCTAAGGAATATTTGGGGCGAGGGTGCTTCATCATGAGTGAGAATTCATTTAATCGCTATGAACAAGTAGAATAGGTTACTTGATTAGTCCAATATCTAAGCTCTGATGTGTAGAAATACTCATCAAATCTTCTTGACTTTAGTTTGGAATTTTAACTCTAGTCTGTTTGTCCTCAATAAATTACAACAGATTTTCTACACAAAATATTTGACAATATTCTCATTAGAATTTGGCCTCCAATCTAATTCAGTTTAAGCAAATCAAACCCAAATGAACAGAAAAGAATCTCAATGATATGAGCATTTCATTTCCGAACAGCACCTTAAGCTGAGTCTTTTTGCAAAACCAATGAGCAACTGCCACGTCAAGAGACGGGATGAAAAAACTAGTCCGCACTCTGTTTCCAAGTTTTCCTACCAGTTAAGTCACTCTGAAACCGAGTGGAGCTGAGACATAAGCCCTAAAACTCTACAGTTCTTCCGGTTGCTCTCTGCCTGATAGACCACAATATCAGAAATATCTGTTTCGTTGAAATCCCACCGGAGCATCCAAGAGCTTTGCACCCTCAAAGCAGCAGAATTTTTCCCCGTTTCCCTTCCTCTTCTTCCCTTTTCACTCTCTAAGGTTTGCCCTCTCTCTGTCTCACTCTCTCTCTCTCTCTCTCTCTGGAGTATTGGGTTCTCTGGCATGTTTGGTGCTATACTGGTTTCTTTTTTCATTGAGAATTATAATAAAAGCTGTGGTCTTTCTGTTCTTCCAGCGTTCCTTGATTCATTGCTTGCTACAATGGTGCATTCCATAATTGCATTCCTGTTTTCAATAATTGATTTTTTTTTTCCTTCTGGCATTCATGTGATGGTTGAAGAACTGGGCATGCTAATTGCTGATAAGGACTCTGACCCATATGCATTCTTATCTGAGGCATGAAGCTCTAATTTGGCCATTCCTAAGCTCACACTTTCCATTGCCAAGTATCAATTTTTAGTCCCTTTTTCCACCCAATTGATTTGATATGGTGTAAGCTATGTGTATCAGTAAAGATGGCATGCGTAGCTCGTTGTTTTGCCCTATTGAGTTAGTTGTGAATATCAGTCGAAATAATCCTAGCTGTTATAGATATGATAATTTGATGTGCTACATAATTGTAAGTAGCTCGTTTTTTATGGGATATTTATTTATTATGGTGAATGATGGCTCTCATATTAAATTGAATTTTTCTTGACTTCCTTTTGTTTTTCCTTCCTTTTTCTCTTCCCTCCCTAATGAAGGTGGATGGGTTGTAGTGATCCTGATATATCAAGTCATCCACAAGAAGAGAGTGACTACAATGAACTTCCAACGTCATTTAGATTGGATATTGATGTGCAACGTGATTGTCGAAGCTCAAAAGATTCCTCTGCCGAAAGGAGTCAGGCAGTTATCGACCATGAACATGACTTTCCGAGAGAGTGTCAAAGTCCAAAAGGTTCCTCTTTTGAGAAGAGGCTGGTGGTTATTGATACTGAGCAGGAGTATCAGAGTCCAATTCCTTCTTCTATGGACAAGAACCAGGTGGAAATTGACTGCAAGGAGTGTGAAACCCCAAAATTTTACTCTGTGAGTAAGTTTGAGATGGATGTAGATGGTGAGCTGGAGTTGCAGAGCCCAAATGTTCCCTGTGCTGATGTACCAGGAGCTGGTATGGCCATGAAAGGTGAGGAATACATTTATGTGGTACCGCAAATTGGGGTGGAGTTTGAGTCAGAAGACCACGCATACAATTGTTACAGTAGATATGCTGTGCTGGAAGGTTTCAGCATTAGAAAAGATTTCGTAAATAAAAGTAGGATAAATGGTATAGTTGTTTCAAGAAGGTACACTTGTTATAGACAAGGATATCGGCCTATCCAACATAATGCCAACGTGAGGAAATCCCGGCAGGAAACAAGAACTGGTTGCTTGGCGCACATGACCATTGCACGTCAACCCAATGGCAAGTTTTGTGTTACTCATTTTGAACCTGAGCACAATCATGAGTTTGTTGCCCCTTGTACAACTTATCTGTTACCATCACAGAAGAGATTGAATTTTGCTCAAGCAGTTGAAGCCAACTTGGGTGATAAATCTGGAATAGATGGGGTGCCAAAACTTGGAATGGGGTTCGACTCAGAAGATCACGCATATGAGTTTTACAACACATATGCTGGACGGGTAGGTTTTAGTGTTCGGAAGGATTATGTAAATAGGAGCAAAATAAATGGTTCTGTGGTCTCTAGAAGGTTTACCTGTTTTAGAGAAGGCTTTCGGCAGAGAGACAAACGGGACATGAATGTGAAGAGACCTAGAAAGGAGACAAGAATTGGCTGTTTGGCGCAATTGGTCATATCTCGACAACCTGATGATAGATACCGTGTCACTCACTTTGAAGAAAAGCACAATCATGAGCTTGTTGCTGCTTGTAGAGTTCACATGTTGCGGTCGCAAAAGAGATTAATTGCAGCTCAAGTTTTTGAAGGCGATTTAGTGGATTGTTCTAATATGCAGCCAGAATCAGCCTCTGAGTTAATACGTAAGACAGGTAGAGACTCTGATAATCATGGTTATGATCCCATAGATTATAAAAATAAACTTCCTTTCAAATGTATGCGAGGAATGAGAGAGGGAGAATCAGCCAGACTGCAGCAATTTTTTCAGAGCAAGCAATTGAAAAACCCTTCCTTTTTTTATGCTTTGCAACCTGATGTAGATGATCAAGTAACTAATGTTTTCTGGGTTGACACCAAGATGGCGATGGACTATGGTGATTTTGGTGATGTGATCTGCTTTGATACAACTTACAGATTACAGAAAGATACCCAACCATTCACACCTTTCATTGGGATAAATCATCATAAGCAAATGCTGATCTTTGGTGCTGCACTTTTATATGATGAAAGTGTTGAATCTTACAAGTGGCTCTTCCAAACTTTCCTAGAGGCCATGTCGGGGAAGAAGCCAAAAACTATACTCACAGATCAAGATGCACTGATGGCTGAAGCAATTGATAAGGTATTTCCCGAAACACTGCATCGAATTTGTGTTTGGCATGTGTACCAAAATGCACTTAAACAACTGAGCTACATGTTTGCGGGCTCTGGTTCTTTTATCAATGATTTAAGCAGTTGTCTTTTTGATCATGAGGATGAGGAGGATTTCATTAATGCATGGAAGGTATTGTTGGATGTATACGGTCTTTGGGAAAATGAGTGGTTGCATGAGATGTTTGAATATAGAGAGAAATGGGCCACAGCTTATGGAAGGCATATTTTTTGTGCTGACATAAAAGCTGTACTGCTACATGAAAGTTTTACTGAAAACCTAAGAAAGTATTTAAAGTCAGGCTCGGATGTGCTTCTGCTGTGCAAGCATCTTGGAAAGGTCATAAATGATTGGCACTACAAAGAACTAGAGGGTAATTACAACATGCACCACCATCTGCCAGAACTTATGGGTGATGTGATTCTTTTGAAGCATGCGAGGAATATGTACACACCAATGATATTTGAATTGTTCCAGCAAGAGTATGAAACATGCCTAAATATCATTGTGAATCAATGCACTCAGACTGGGCCGTTGTTTGAGTACAAAGTTAGCATATATGGGCAACCACGAGAGTACATGGTTACTTTTGATTCATCTACAGAAACAGTTGCCTGTAATTGTATGAAATTTGAGTTTATGGGAGTTTTGTGCAGCCATGCATTGAAAGTACTCGACTATAGGAATATAAAGATTCTCCCTTCCAAATACATTCTGAAGAGGTGGAGTAAAGATGCTAGGGTCTGAAATTATGGACGGAAGTCTTTCGGGGCACTGCATAGGAAGGTAATAAAGAGAAATTTCTGATCACTGATTGAACAAAATTGTAAACAAAAACTGTTTGATTTCATGTAATTGCTGCAAAATATTTCCTAAATACTGTCCATTTTGTATTTCAAGGGTTGGAAGAATGTTAAACCCTTAAAAGAGAGAATCTTACTTCTTTTTCTTTTCTTTTATTTCAGACATCTCCATTGCTGCTTTATAGAAGAAAATCACTTTCAATATGCCTCAAATTATCATTAGGCAGATATTGACTGAAAAGAATATGCACAGTGCTTAAGATCCGTTATGGACCATCTTGAAAGACCATCGTGTAACTTTTTTATGGCAGCTGACCACAGTATATTGTACCATCATCCTGAGGCTAGGTTGGTTTCTCTTGTCATAGATTTCTATATGTCCTGGAATGTCACATCATCTGTTACATATTATCTCGGCTATAATTTTGAATCCTTGCTTAACAAATTTTTGTTTCTTTACTACTTAGGGGTACACTCAAATTATGAGATGCTGAAACCTATTTCCAAATGGAAATTCCACAGCCTTCCACAACTTCTACACTTTGTAGAACAATTCTTGGTACAGGTAAAAATGGAAAAGACCGTACAATTTTTTGTCCACTAACCAACTACACTCTTCATACATTTGCCCAAAATCTATATGCATATATGTCTCCGGCAAATTAATTTTGGTATGCGGTGCGATCAAACCTAACTAAAATTTGCTAGAAGCTTTCAGCAGG